GAGGCCGAGGTGATCCACCCACCTCGGCCTCCCAGAATGCTGGGATTATAGGCATGAGCCACCACACCCAGCCATATTGACCCCAATTTTATTTTATTTTATTTTATTTTATTTTATTTTATTTTATTTGAGACAGAGTCTTGCTCTGTCATCTGTGCTGGAGTGCAGTGGCACAATCTCTGCTCACTGCAACCTCAGCCTCCTGGACTCAAGCAATTCTCCTGCCTTAGCCTCCTGAGTAGCTAGGATTACAGGCATGCACCGCCACCATGCCCGGCTAATTTTTGTATTTTTAGGGTTTCACCATGTTGCCCAGGCTGCTCTTGAACTCCCGACCTCAGGTGATCCGCCTGCCTCGACCTCCCAAAGTGCTGGGATTACAGGCGTGAGCCACAGTGCCTGGTGTGACCCCAGTTTTAAACTGGGGTTGTTCCCCACACAATGTTAGGTTTCCAGCTTCCATTGGAACGCCGGAAGAGGTGAGCCCATGTTTCCACTGGCAGACGGCCACCCCTCTTGAATGGGGCTCTGCTGCCCAGGTTTGCCCCAAACCCTGCCACTCTCTGCTGCTTCATGCCTACCACTGTCATTTGCTTGTTTTGCCTGCCTGGCCCCGTAGGTGTGTGAGTTTGAGACCCTTGGTTGAGGCGCTGTAGACAAGAGCAGAGGTCTTAAGAACACGGGCTCTGCCTTCAGGCTGCCTGAGACATGCTCCACGACTTCCTGGATGGGTGACTTTGGGCAATGGACCTTCACATCTTCAAGCCTCAGTTTTCTCATCTATGAAATGGGGTTATGATACCCACTTCATGGGGCCATTGTGAGGATACTGTGAGATCATACATGAGAAAAACGTATAACCCTGGTGCCTGGAACATGGGGTGGCTGGTTAAGTGATAGCTGTTACGGGATTCAAGAGCATGAATCCTGGGCCATTGCACTGCTGATACTTGGTGGATGCTGTTGAGCAAGTGACTACACCTTTCTGTGGCCTCAGTTTCCTCATGTGGAAAACGGGGGACATACTAGTGTCTATCTCATAGGTAAATTATTCAGAGAGATGTCCAGCACGGAGTAAGCACACTCTAACAGCTCTTTCACCGGTAGTTATTTAAATATGTATTGTGACATACATTCGTGCCCCTTTTTTCTCACTACTTATTCTAGAAACAGAGACTCGGAGATCTGAAAGCGGAACAGCGTCAAACACACACATCACCCAGAAACCTAGAACTTTAGAGCTTGCAAGAAGCTCAAAGAAGCTCAGGCCTAATCTGAAACCTATGAACAGAACCCAATCCGATGTAACAAATACTTATTGAGCACCTACTACGTGCATGCTCTTCACTGGACATTTGGAATCCAAGGCTGATCTCAGCCCTTGAACAGCTCAGAACTTAATGGGGTAGACAAAGACCAAAAAAAAAAAAAAAAAAAATTGTAGATAGTGGCCCATAGTAGTCAGAGCGAGATTGAGGGGGAGATGAGAGGAGGATACAAAGGTAGTGGTCAGCTCCACCTGAAAGTTTACTGGGTGGTTCTGGAAGGCTTCCTGGAAGAGGTGGCCAGTAAGCAGAACCTTGAAGAATTTTGTTGATGTGTTTATGTATGTATAGTATTTGAGCTAACAGATGCACTAGGTTTACTATGTGCTGGTACTGTCCCAAGTGCTCTACCAATATCAGAGACAGCCAAGAAGCAGGAGAGACAGGGCTGTGGAAGGGGCAAGGACAGGGCCCTGGGTACACTCCTGGGAACGGGTAGATGATGAGATGGTCTCTGAATGGGGAGTGCGGGAGCAGGTGGTTGATGAGCCGGTTCAGGAATGATGTCTTGGACCCGTCACGTCTAACTCCCCAACTCTCCTGAGCTGCTCAAGGCAGAGCCCCTCCAGTGCCACAGCCCAGGGACAGCCCACGGGCTGAGGTCAAGCTGGAGAAGTTAGCGTGTAAGGAAAGGCAGGAAATGAGACTGCAGTGGTGTCAAAGCCTGGACCTGGCAGGGCTGAGTTCAGAGGTTGAGACTTTATCTGGGGGGTGGTGGGGAGCCCTAGAAGGCTGTGAGTAGGATCAGTTCTGGGTGGAGGAAGATCCCTCTGGGGCCACGTGGGAGACGATCTTGGGGACAGAGAACGGACGCGAAGGAGGAGGCTGGGACTGCGGGTGCAGGGAACCAGACAAGAACTTTTTCCTGGCCACTCCTTCCCCCTTGCCAGAGGTTGCACAGTGACTCTCTCCAAGTCACCACTGCGGCAGCTTCAGCTGTCCAGCTCCAGTTCCTCCCCTGTCCCTCTCTCTCAGCACTTCCCTCCCTGGAACAGAATTGCTCAGCCTTTCTCAATACACGCCAGCCTTTGAAAACACAAAGATGTCGAAAACCTGAAAGATCAAGAATAAATGAGTAGCCGGGTGCGGTGGCTCACACCTATAATCCCCACACTTTGGGAGGCCGAGGTGGGCAGATCACCTGAGGTCAGGAGTTTGAG